GAGCGTCAGGAAACAAGAGGACCCTCCCTCCTAACAGCTGCAGCTTCTGACACAAGTCCTTGACTTGCGCTGCAAAGTTACACGTCAAGCTAATACACAGCAACAGCTTCCAAACTACCAGGTTAAATGTTTTGGTTTTATAGATGACACACCTGGGACAGTGTCACAACACTGTTGTCTTCATTGATGGCTTCATCCACAATTAACCGATTGGGCCTGTTCTTCTGCTTCAGAATAGCAGTCGATAAGTCATCAGCCTTAGAACTGGTGAAGAAAACACAACATATGAGTCTAAGCGACACCTCTTCCCCCTTTCTAGCCACTCCCCTCTTTTCATCTCTGCTTTATACAGGTTTATTTGTTGTCTTGTCTTTCAGAAACAGCACTTTTTTGTAAGACAAAGGAGAAAATTCCTCCCAGGCACCAGCTGGAGGAGCTCAAAGCATCATGCTTTCTGTCACTAACTATAACTATTTTACTAGGCTCAAATGGAAATAGCTATGAAGCCGTCTATGAAAAGAAGTGGTCAGTGAGATGTTGCTGACTGCAAGATGTTTTTCCTAAAAGAATTAGTCAGACTCATCTGAAATTGCATGTAACCACTGCCACTGACACAAAAGTTCAAGTCTATTTGGTGTGAAATCCCAGATAAATAGGGGAATTAAAGGACAATGCTGCAGCCCCCCTGACAGGAAGAGTTGTAAGAGTTTAGCCTGACGAGGCCTATTAGTTAAACCTAGCAAGCCAGTAGAAATATTCAAGTCCTCATGAAAAAAGGGGTGGTTTGTTTTGGTTTTTTCCCCCAGATATAAGCACTATTCCATAACACTTCCACAGGAGTCACTGCAGCTCTAGCCCACTATGCCACAAGAAACACAGCAAATACTTCATTTGCCTTGACAAAATGGAGCAAATCAAACAGCAAGGAAATGGAAGAAAAGCAGATTAAGTGCTTTGCTTAAAATCTAATACAGCAAGTAATTCACTCTATGAAAGAAATATGAATTTGAGCCAATTGATTCCCAAGGACCCCTGAGAAGTTGTAATTAGCTGTTTAACTACCCTTGGAGGGTCCTTGACATTCTCCAAGTATGCCAGATACACCAGTGTCAAAGGGTGGAACAGAAAGTGCTGCAGTTTGTTTTGATTCTGATAAGAGAAGAAGTCTTCCTCTGCCCCCAACAAGCGGCGAGCAATAGCAGAGCAGAAAGCTTTGTGGACAACAATGCTGGCTGTACACTTTGGCTCCATTTTGCTCTTCTAGAGAACCACCAGAAGAAACCAACCTTGACTAGGAAACTGAGCCAATACATCATCAGGCCAGACAGAAACTTGTGGTTAAAACAGTGAGCAACACTGACAACCTAACTCTAAGCACCTTGCTTCATTACTATCTCCTGGTCACTGGATATTAATTTAGCATGTAGATTTTAAAACTTGAGCTAAAGGACACCAGAAAGAAACAATACTCCTCCTTAGCCTGTTCAAAGCGTGAACCTATCTCACAATGCTCTGCACATGGACGTGGATGCAAACGCCTTTGGCTAAGCAATCTCTGCCAGGCTTCAGTTACATAAACTGACTGTCACTGAAAATGCATGGCTGTCCCTCAGGATGCAGACTGCCCTGCAGTCCAAAACAGTCTGGGACACAAGATAAAATAAATGGAAAACAAACTGGGCAGCAAGTGGAAGCTTTTATATCAAAACTCTCCATAGGCCAAAGACATATAAATCTGGCAAGAAAGGTCAGATCCCTCCTGATGTGCAGCAGGGCTGCAGAGCACAGCAAGAGGTCCGCTTCATCCTGCTGAATGTGAGAAAAAAAGTTTTAGTACTGAAGAACTGAATCTACAGTTTCCCCATGTAAGAAGCAATGGCCAAATCAATGCTGCCAGTACACTACTGCACTTAAAGCAATCTAAAAGCTTGGAGGCATTAAAAATGGAATAAAAGTCTCCAAGAAACAGCATGTGGGCATCTAAATGTGTGAGGGTCAGCTTAAGTTATCTGACCTGGCAGTTCTGTAGAGAATGAGACAACAGTGCAATGAAATTACACATCGGCTACACAGCAGAGTGAGGTTATTTCTCCTGCAGACAAGGGTAAGGATTTCTAGAGACAAGCAGTATCCGTCTTCCACCAGCAATTCAGAACATTATCACCATCTGCCCTCACTGCATCTCTCCCGGGGGGTTCCTCGTGCTGCAAGTGAAACGACGGGGCGGTGTCTATCTGTGCACCTCAGCCACGCTCAGACGAACCCGGACAGCTGTGCAGAGCCTGATCTGAGAACACCCGCAGGAAAGCCTGAGGCACGGGGCGGGGCCCTCGCCTGCCAACTTTCCTACTCACGCTGGTGAACTCCAGCGAAGGGCAGGACAAACAGCGAAGTCGGGCAATTTTTGAAGCTCCTCAATAAGCTTCCCATCAGAGAAAGCCTGGTGTAAATCCTCTAGATTGTGCCTGCTGCTCACCTCTTCTGTCAGCTCCCTCACACACTTTCCTTTGCACTCCCTCCCTCCACTGACTCAACAAATAGATAAACTCAACACCAAACGTAGCTTTAGAGCCCTTTTGGAATTTAAAGGAAACTCAAAGTCTGTATCCAGCTTGCTGCTAGACAGAAGCCAGAAGTGAGGACATAATCCCCAGCACAGCTAACGGCCAAGCTTGCATACAGAGCACAAGGCTTCAATAAAATTGAAGCAAATATGTACTTCATCGTTCCTCTGTGCAGGACCTCCCCTCGTTCAGCACGTGACAATGGCCAGAGGCTATGCATTATGGTGGGCAAAGAGCAAGAGCAGGAAGTAGCTACCAACCAGTGATTCTTCTGGAAACGACTACCAATCTCCAAGGCACCACCAGAACTAAGGAAATGAGTTGTTCCTTCAAGTTTGTGCTAAAAACACAGCTCAAAGCCACTGACTCCAAACGACTCCAGCTGCAGTAACGAAAGTGAAGACAACCATGCCTTCTGCATGCTGGTGTGCCTTTTTATTAATAGCTTCATGAACTTGCTTCCCAGGTAAGACCTGTCAGTGGTTTCTCACCACCCTGAGCATCCATGTTGGAGACTGAAGTGCTTTCCCCAGGTAGGTATCAAAAAAATCACCACAATTCAAAAAACATTTTATCCCCGGAAGGAAACAAATGAGGCATCTGGTGGCTGCAGCCACTCACTGGAAGAGCACGTGACAACCAAGCAGCGAGCTCATGCCCGTGCTCGAGATGCCAAGTTCCCAGACACTGTTTCAGACAGGTGAGCACACGAAAACAGGAATCTCTTCAGAAACCACACTCTCTTACCACTTGCAATGCTCCTCACTGTGCTAAGGCTCAATTCAGCAAGATGGCTGCCAACGGCACTGACCCAAAAATGGCAACTGAAGAGAAAACATTTCCCAGTTGCAGAGTAACTTTTGGTAATTCCTCTGTGGCGAGAGGAACTTTGCTGAAGTAGAAATTTACTTTTAAAGACATCGTCCACCTCATTCAGCTGCAAAATATGAGACCTCCGAGACCTCTGCTTCTATCACAAACTCTACCACAAACACTGAATTCTTGACAAACCTTGCTGGAACCGACTCAGTAGGACTAAGCAGGTCTAAATTTCATGAGTTGCAAAAGAAAAGGAGAACTTAAACAATGGACACTAAAGGGACCGAAAGTGCCTCCAGCAGGGAAAAAAAGTCACTTCAAGTATTGTCAGATTTGGGAAATTCATTTTTAGGTTCTATTTTTACTCTGCTCAAGGGGCAATGAAGTGGCTTGCACACGTGGGCTGGGAGCCGAAAGACCACTATTGGCCAACTCATTTCTGAGGAGCACGAAACACGATCCTCGGTTTGGAACTGAAAGCAGAGTAAGTCGAGAAACCGGAGACGTAAATACAGCCGATTG